TGAGTTTTAAGCCACCGGGTCCAGGACACGAACCACGGTCGACTACATGGGAGTCCAGCGACATAGCCATTACGCTAACTGCTGGTTCCCTGCTCCAGTCATTTTTGATAGGTGATCAGATTTGTATGCGGTCTCCTGTTGTTGGGGTGGAGCACAGCTCCTTAATCATAAAGGATGTAATGGATGACAGATTCATTCAAACTGTCCAATTGCCAGTAATATACATTCAAATTGATTGTTTGGTTCCTTGGTAGGAGATTAAAAAACACTACACCTTTAAAATCCTACCACACTAAGAGCACAACTTTCCTCTGTTTAATGTCTGCTTTGGATTTCATTTGAGGCAAATCATCACAAGACCATTTGTGTACCATATTGTTGTAAATGATCCACTTCTCATCACCAGTTATCAATCACTTCAAAAAAGGATTGTTTTCCTCATGTTCAATGAACATATTGCAGATGTTCATATGCACCGTCAAATGAATTTCTTTGAGCTCGTGAGGAACCCAAATATCAAGCTTACTTATGTACCCCCAGCTTCTTCGGGTAGTTCTGAGTGCTTGAATGATGGGTGTTCAATGTTTCTGCAATCTCTTGTGTCATATGACATGGCTTTGACTTGATCAATGCCTTTATTTTTCATCATCAACCTTGATTGGTCTCCCTGACTGAGGAGCATCATTAATATCAAAATCACCAGCACAGAATTTTGAGAACCATCATTGGCACTCATGTTCTTGTAGAGTATTGTCATCATAAACTTTACACAACTTTTCACAAGCTTGATGCATGTTTTTACCTTTACGGAAGTAAAACAATAAAATATGGTGAAAATGCAGAGTTTGGTCTTCCATCTCCAACTTGTTGTAAAATCTCTAAAACTCAGCCAATCAATTTCTTTTTTAATGAAGCTAGAACTGTCAACTGTTAAGTGACATAACAATAACATAGATGTGAATGAATCTAGTACTTCAAAAAATGAACTAGCACTATCTGTTACAAAAGTGCATCATGACTTTTCTGACAACCCAATATTATTTTTGAATTTATTAAAGTGTCTTCATTGAAAAAGTATGAGGCTTTAAATGGTTATCAAATATAATCTTTGCCCTCAAGGAGTTCAAATCTTGTAACCTATGTAGCCGTATTAATATATATATTTTTTAAGTTTTTTGACACAAAAAGTGTATATATTTATAGAGTACAGTGTGGTATTTCAGTACATGCATATATTGTGTAATGATTAAATCAGGGTATTCAGTATATCCATCATCTCAAACTTTCATCATTTCTTTGTGGTGAAAACATTCAATCCTATCTTCTAGATATTTTAAAATATATGATACAATAGTGTTAAAATAATCACTCTTCTGTGCAATAGTGTACCAGAACTTATTCCTCCTAACTGTGACCCTATCTATACCTGTTAACCAATCTCTCCACATGTCTCTCTCCCCAGTCTCTGATAGCCACTATTCTGCTCTCTACCTCTATGAGTTTAGTTTTTCCAGTCATATTATGGAGTGTTTGTCTTTTTGAGCTTTGCTCACTTCCTTGTAATGTTGTCAAATTTATCTATGTTGCTGCAGATGACAGAATTTTTTTGTTGTTTTTGTGGCTGAATTTTGTAAACAGTGCTGTGATAAACATAAGGGAAAAAAATATATATATACTTATATATCTTCAACATGGTGATTTCACTGGGGGTGGGGAGCTATATACCCAGTAATGGGATTGTGAGATCATACTATAACTTTATTTTTAATTTTCTGAGGAACATCATATTGTTTTTCATAGTCACTATATTAATTTATACTCCCATCAACATGCTATGAGAGTTCCCCCTTGTCCACATCCTTATATAGCATTTGTTATCTTTTTCTTTTTAATAATAACCATTCTCTCTAGGGGGAGGTCACATTTCATTGTGGTTTTGGTTTGTGTTTTCCTAATTATTAGCAATGTTGAGCATTTTTTTCATATGTCTGGCTATTTCTATGTCCTTTGAACGATATCCATCCAAGTCTTTTACTCATGTTTAAATCAGATTGTTCATCTGGGGTTTGTTTGTGTTTTTATTATGCTGTTGACTTGTTGAAGTTACTTTCATATTCTAGAAGATAACCCCTTGTCAGATGTATAGTTTGCAGATGTTTTCACCCATTCTGCAGATCTTTTCACTCTGTTGACTGTTTCCTTTGCTGTGCAGAAGCTTTTTAGTTTGTTGTAATCCATTTGCCTATTTGTTACCTGTGGTTTTGAGTATTTGTTCAAAGAAATGCTTGTCCAGACCAATGTCATGGAGTTTCCCCCCTATATTTTCTTCTGGTAATTTTATAATTTTATGTTTTACATTTAGATTTTTAACCCATCTTGAGTTGATTGTTTTATATGATTAGAGATAGGAGTCTAGTCTCCTCTTCCACGTGTGGATATCTAGTTTTCCCAGCACTATTTGTTGAAGAGACTGTCCTTTTCCAATTTGTGTTCTTGGCACTTTTGTCAAAAATCAGCTGGCTTTACATATGTGAATTTATTTCTGAATTCTCTGTTCTGTTCCATTGTCCTATGTTGTATTTTTATTACCAGTACCATGCTGTTTTGTCTAGATAGTTGTGTAGTATATTTTGAAGTCAGATAGTGTGATGCCTCTAGCTTTGTTCTTTCTGCACAAGATTGCTTTAGCTATTTGTTGTCTTTTATGGTAATATGCAAATTTAAAGTTGTTTTTTTTCTATTTCTGTGAATAATGTCACTGTTATTTTGATAGGAATTGCATTGAATGAACAGATTGCTTCAGGTAGTATGGACATTTTAACAATGTTAATTTTTCCAATCCATGAACACAGATGTCTTTCCATTTATTTGTTTTTTTCAATTTCTTTCATCAATGTTTAAAATTTTTTAATTTTAGAGATTTTTCGCCCCCTCATTTAAGTTTATTTCTAGGTTTTTAGTTTTCTTGTAGCTATTATAAATGAGTGTGTTTTCCATGGGTATGTAGAAATGCTTTTGGTTTTTATATGTTGATTTTATATCTTGCCACTATACTGAATTCCTTTATTAATTCTAACAGTCTCTTGATGGAGTCTTTAGGGTTTCTATGTATATGATCGTGTCTACAAAAAGGGACAATTTTACTGTTTCCTTTTCCTATTTGGATGGCCTTCATTTCTGTCTCTTGCCTAATTGCTCTGGCTAGTTCTTCCAGTGCTACTTTGGGTGAAAGTATCTTTGTTGTGTTCTAGATCTTTTTTTCAGAAAGAATTATTTATTTAATTTTAATTGTTATTATTTTTTAATTTCACCAGAGAGAGAGAGAAAGGGAAAGTGAGAAAGCAAGCTGTCTGGTCCGGGACTCAAAACATGGTCAGCACCTTAACCACTGTGCCACCTGCTGGCCCTGATTTTTAGCTCTTACAGAAAGCTTTTAATGTTTTCCAATTTAATATGATGTTTTCTGTGGATTTGTCATGTAACTTTTATTATGTTATTTCCATACCTAGTTTGTTGAGGTTTATTATCATGAAGGAATGTTACATTTTTGAAATAATCAAGTTTGTTTTATACTTGATTCTGTTAAGGTGATGTATCATGTTTATTGATTTGCATATGTTGAAACCATCTTTGCATTCCTGAGATGAATCCCACTTGATTGTGGTGAAACTTCTTTTTACTGTCCTGGTAAATTCAGTATGCTACTATTTTGTTGGGAATCTTTGCATCTATGTCCATTAGGGATATTGTTCTGTAGTTTCATTATTTTTGTATCCTTGTCTGATCTTGGTATCTGGGTAATGTCAGCCTCATAGAATGTGTTTAGAAGAATTTCCTCCTTTTCAACTTTTTGAAATATGTTAGAAAGAATTGGTATTTGTTATTCTTTAAATGCTTGGGAGAATTCAGCAATGAAGCCATCAGATCTTGGGCTTTTCTTTGATGGGAAACTGTATATATTTTTAAATATCTCTCAGTGATGATTTTTTATCCCTAACCACTAGAAACTAATAGAAGATAGAAATACTTTTCCAAAGTAAATAAAAAAGAAATAAAAAGGAAAAGAAACATTAGACTTTTCTTCAGTTTCAAAAAATCTTTGGTCATTTCTTCTATAGGAAACAAAAGTTTAAAAATATAAATTTTTAGGGGACCAGCAGATGGCGTGTTGGTTAAGGTACTGGATACTCCCACATGGCCAACCACAGTTAGAGTCCTGGACCTGGTGGTGGCTTGCTTTCTCACTTTCTCTCTCTGTCACTCTTGTCTCTGTGTGTCTCTCTCTTTGGTCAAATTAAAATAAATGAATGAATAAATAAAATTAAATAATTATTTAAAATATATATATAAATTTATATCAAATGTCTGTTTATATGTGCTCTCTTGAATTATAAAAGAATACAAAATTTTTAGAATTAGCATAGAAACAGTTTATCATCCAATAAAAAAAAATTTAAACTTCTCTTTTGAAATTATTTGCTATTGGATACTACCTAAATAAGCACTGTTTCCGTAAAACAAAGTTTTATGTGAAAAGGTAAGAATAATATGAATTTTCCTTACTTAATTTAAACTCATGTCACTTTTACATTCTTACATGCTTTATTCCCTTCCTTTTTTGTGCATTAGGGCAGAATATGAATACCAGTTGACTGTGCGCCCTGATCTCTTCACCAATAAACACACCCAGTGGTACTATTTCCAAGTCACTAATACCAAAGCAGGAGTAGTCTACAGATTCACTATTGTCAACTTTACCAAGCCTGCCAGTCTTTACAATCGGGGCATGCGCCCACTATTCTATTCTGAGAAAGAAGCCAAGGCTCATAATATTGGCTGGCAGAGAATAGGAGACCAAATCAAGTATTATAGGAACAATCTGGGACAAGATGGACGCCATTATTTCTCTCTTACATGGACTTTTCAATTCCCACACAACAAAGACACCTGCTACTTTGCTCACTGCTATCCATACACTTACACCAACCTGCAAGATTACCTTTCTGGCATCAATAGTGACCCAGTAAGGTCAAAGTTTTGTAAAATACGTGTCTTGTGCCACACACTTGCTAGGAACATGGTGTATGTTTTAACAATCACTACTCCCTTGAAGAACACGGACTCAAGAACACGAAAGGCTGTGATTTTGACTGCAAGGGTCCATCCAGGAGAAACCAACAGTTCATGGATTATGAAAGGCTTCCTAGATTATATTTTAGGGGACTCAAGTGATGCACAGTTGCTTCGAGACACTTTCATCTTCAAGGTGGTGCCCATGCTGAATCCAGATGGTGTGATTGTGGGAAATTACCGATGTTCTTTAGCTGGACGTGACTTAAACCGTAACTACACGTCACTCCTAAAGGAATCTTTTCCTTCTGTTTGGTATACCCGGAACATGATCCATAGGTAAAATAAGTCTCAAATTAGTCTTCCGCTTATTTAGTAAATTTGGTAGCAAGAATTTTGCTTCCACAATCCCACTCATTTAACTTTTCTTAAGATAATTTAATTATAAGTATATTTTCCCCCTTCTTCCCAACTCTGATTCATTTTGTTACTGGATTCAGTAGCCTACCCTTAAACAATGAAATAGAATGTGGAATGTTTTGATGGTTCTGTGAAATTAATAGTTAAAATTTTTTTGGGGGGGGTGGGTTTTTTTTGGTTTTTTTGGTTTGCCTAGATTATATTTTAGGGGACTCAAGTGATGCACAGTTGCTTCGAGACACTTTCATCTTCAAGGTGGTGCCCATGCTGAATCCAGATGGTGTGATTGTGGGAAATTACCGATGTTCTTTAGCTGGACGTGACTTAAACCGTAACTACACGTCACTCCTAAAGGAATCTTTTCCTTCTGTTTGGTATACCCGGAACATGATCCATAGGTAAAATAAGTCTCAAATTAGTCTTCCGCTTATTTAGTAAATTTGGTAGCAAGAATTTTGCTTCCACAATCCCACTCATTTAACTTTTCTTAAGATAATTTAATTATAAGTATATTTTCCCCCTTCTTCCCAACTCTGATTCATTTTGTTACTGGATTCAGTAGCCTACCCTTAAACAATGAAATAGAATGTGGAATGTTTTGATGGTTCTGTGAAATTAATAGTTAAAATTTTTTTGGGGGGGTGGGGTTTTTTTGGTTTTTTTTGTTTGTTTTGTTTTGTTTTGTTTTGTTTTGCTAAAGCTAAAGGAAACACAGACATTTACAATAGGATCCTGAATCTCATATGTGAAAATTAATTACATCTCACAGAACTTTATTCTGAGCACCACAGAGCATTGGTCATAAATTGTTCTATGAGTCTTGTGATAACCAAGTTACATAATTAACTTTCATGCATAATAATCTTATTTGTCCCTTGAAATATTGAATAGCTTTAAATTTCTAAAGAATCTAGAATGGTAAAATGCACATAACATTTCATTATTTTTTTGAACGAATGGATAGATTCCTTGATAGATTCATGTAATAACAATCAAAAACAATGTGCTACAGTAAAAAGATTAGAGTCAGAAAATAGCAATTCCAAGTCTGAAGTCCCTTAACATTTTTAGATAAGAGCATGGCATTCGAAGTTAAGCCATATCACTTTCAAATCCTTGCAATATGATTAACTGTGGATTTATGCAATTTCAAAATCTAAGACTCTCTTTTGGTCATCTATAAAATAGGAATATTAATACTTACCTTAAAAGTGATAGGATTCAATGAAAAAATTATTACTAAAGTGCTCAGAATAAGGTCTGGTACATTGAAAGCTCCAAGTACATTTGGTATGTTTCCTCAAATGTAATAAAAAAATAATTGTTAGTTAAGTCAGAGATGTGAAACCTCTTCGTAAATGATTTAGGATTATTCAAATTTTACAATAACAAGTACTATTACAGAGAACGTATCTTTTTATAGCCTTGTTTCCAGGGTACTCAACAATGGCAAGCGCAGAACCATTACAAAGCTCAGGACCCCACGAATACCTCCAATACCTCATGAGAGGAGCTGACAGATTTTACAAATACCTGGCATGGCTCCAACAGTCTTAGTTCAGCCTCAACTTTCACTTTCATATTAATCTTTTTATCTGCTTAGGAACATAGAGAATAAAGTGTAGAATCCCACAAAAAGAACGAAACTTCTGGTTTTATACCCCTTGTAAAGGACTCCAGGATTCCTTGAAGTTATTTAGAAAAGTTTAAATAGCAAAAGAGTAACCTTCAACATCTCTATTTTTCTGGAGATGACAATCAAAAGAGAGTTGACTAAATGCAATGTAGTATCTGTGATTGGATTCTGGGATAGACAAAGGATACTGGTGAAAAAATTAGTAAAATCCAAAAAACAGTTGAGAGTGTAATGAATGGTAGCAAACCATTGTTGAATTCTTGAATTTAAAAAAAATGTAGCATGTTTATATAATATATTAGCCTTAGGGGAAACTGAGCGAGGCGTATACAAGAACTCCCCTAGTTGTGCAACTTCTGTATAAATCTAAAATTATACCAAAGTAAAGTCTATTTTATATCTACAAGTCACTGGGATGCTTAGTAGAGTATTTATCATGTCCAGTTAATATTCTTTGATGATGAGAGTCCCTGATCTGGCACATGATGGATTATAGGCCAGAATGCCTTTGCTTGTCTCCATGAAATTATTTCAGATGTCCCAATTCTCCTCAGGCTGCCTTGTAAGAATATTAAGGTAGGAGTCTATTCAGTAAGTTTCAGAAAGACTTCCAAGAAAGAAATATCCTAATGCAGTTAATTATAGGCAGTTAAGTGGAATAAGAAGTCAGCCACGTATGTGAGCAGCTCTAAGTGTAGGTAAGTATATTTAAAGCATATTAGAAAAGGATAGATTAGATCTTAGTATAGGATGCTTAGAGTATTTTAGTTATCTGTGAGTAAAAATAAAATCCAAACTGTTTCTAAGGTTAATTTAAGATTAGGGATTCCGAGGCCTGTTTCACTTCAGAAGTAATAACATTTCTTTAGAAATTAATTATTTAGAAGTAAATATTTCTTTTGACTTGCTTATAAGAAATTGAAAGATTATTAAAATGAGAATTTGGGGTTTAAAAATGTACAGCATGACTCATATGAACTTGATATTCATACTTTATAATCTATTTTGTTGTCTAAGAAAAGGGTAATAAATTAATAAAAGTGACAGATTTCAAATGGGATTCACTGTAGTTAAAATTTAAATTAATGTTTTTATTTTAGGTTTTAGTATTTTTGTTGTAACTAATATATTACATATTATTATAAATGCTGTTGCTAATATTTATTTATCCTTCCAGTTATAACAGATAATATATGCAGTTTTGATTATTTAAGTAATATAGGACTACTTCATAAAGTATGAAGAAAATATTTTTAGAGAGATTTTGCTATAGGGCACATGTGCACTTGCCAAAGAGGCAGAAAGAAATAGACAGAAAGCAAGAAATCACCCCCCAGAAGGGATGGCCATGCCACAATCCCTTCTCCTCCAGTCTCCTCTCTCGATTTTGAGCACACATACACATGCTCCTGGCATGAGTTTTAAGTTGTCAGATCTGGGACTTGAACTGTGGTTGACTGCATGGGAATCCAGTGATGTAACCATTATGCCATCTGCTGGTCTCATGAAAATATTTTTTTGCTATAGGGCGCGTATGCTTGCCAGAAAGACAGAGAGAACCAAAGGGACAGAAAACGAGAAATCACCCCCTCCCCCCACAGAGGGGATGGCCACACCTCAGTCCCTTCTCCTTTCTCCTCTCAGGATCTTGGGCATGCACGCATATGTGCCCAGCAAAAATTTAAGCCACCAGGTCTGGGACTTGAACTGCGGTAGACCACATGGGAGTCCAGCGACATAGCCATTACACCAACTGCTAGTCCTGAAAATATTTTTTTAAAGACAGAAATGCCCGTAATCCTACCACCTTAATACAACTATCGATACTTTTTTAGCATTTGAAAGCCTCCTCTGTCAGTCATTTAAATCAGTTTGAGGGGCTTATTTTTAATTGTTTTTATTGAGTTCCTAATTATACAAAAAATTGATTGAGCTCTTTAGGAATATGTAGTAATGTCTTTAAAAATATATTTTTTAAGAATTATTTTATTTATCTTTATTTATTTATTTTAATTTAACCAGAGAAGGATAGAGTGGGAGAGAGAGAGAAAGTGAGAAGGCAAGCCACTAGGCCGGGACTCAAACCACAGTCAGCCATGTGGAAGTCCAGCACCCTTAACCACCACACTACCTGCTGGCCCCTAAAATACGTATTATAAGTTTACCAGAAGACCATTTTAAACTTCAACACCATTTTTCTCAAAATTGTATTTAATCACCACACTAATCAAGAGTTAAATATTAATTGACTTTAATGCCAAGTCAGTAGGCACTCAATTTTTTTTTTTTCGGAGAGGTTTTTGCAATAGGGTGCGTGCACTCGCCAGACAGACAGAGACAGACAGAGAGACAGAAAGTGAGAAATCACCCCCCAGGGGGGGATGGTCACGCCGCAATCCCTTCTCCTCCATTCTCCTCTCGGGATCTTGGGCATGCATGCACACGTGCCCGGCGTGAGTTTTAAGCCACCGGGTCCGGAACGCGAACCGCGGTCGACTACGTGGGAGTCCAGCAACATAGCCATTACGCTAATTGCTGGTTATTTATTTTTAATAAATATTTGAGTGCTTATTATGTGAGTAGCACAGTTCTAGGTTTGAGGCATTCCCCAACCTCAACATGCTAAACTATCAAAAATGTGAAAACTTTCCTGGGTAAGTGCCAAGTAAATGCTACTCATATTAAGTACTACAGGAATAATAAAAATCTATGGGCTTGACTGGTTAAAGAGAAAGTGAGACATGAAGTCGATTTTGAAGGACGGGGGGTTGTATTTGTATTTACAAAGATGAGGAAAGAACAATTCCAGTCAGAATCTGTAAAAGGTAAGGCAAAGACAGGAGTGAGCTATTTTCTTGTGCAACAGAAAACCAGAATAAAGCAGAGACATACAACTAGAGAAAACTTAAAAAGTAGGGTAAATTTAGGTCTTATAATGGAAATCTCCAACATTCAGATTTTACAAATAGTTAAGAGAAAATGATTGCAGATTTTTAAAAATGAATATTAATATATGTTATAGATGAGAAGGTAATTGAAAACTAGGACATAAAAGTTTTTTATTTGAATATTACACATATAAATCCATAGTTGTACTCATAGAAGACATATGCAGAGGTAAAACCTAATAACTTATCCTTTTTCTTATTGGCAGATTGATGGAGAAACGAGAGGTTATTTTGTATTGTGATCTTCATGGCCATAGTAGGAAAGAGAACATCTTCATGTATGGCTGTGATGGGAGTGACAAATCAAAAGGGTTGTACTTACAACAACGAATCTTTCCACTTATGCTCAGCAAAAATTGTCCGAATAAAGTAAGCATCTTTTAAGATTTTAACTTTTCCTTTACTAAATGTTGCCCATGTGAAATAGTGTTATAGGTAATCGTAAACTGCTTTTCAGTTATTTTAACTGGTTTATACAGTTGACCATAAGAAAGCAACTATGTGGAACTGTTTAGTGACCCATAATTTGAAAATATGAATAAAAAAGCATGCTATGGTTTGTACCCACCCCCATTCATATATTGAGATTTGTTTGAGAAGGTATTAAGAGGGAAATTTAATCCAGCTACAGTGTTGAAATCTGGGACCTTTAAAAGTGATTAGGTGATTACCATGGGTCCCCTTTGATTGACTCCTGGTGTATTTATAAGGAGAGGGAAGGAGACCAAGGATGCATATGAACAAACAGATGCCCACTCCTGTTCCCTCACCTATGACACCTCGCATGACCTTGGGACCCCATCAACTGGAAAATCTACCATATGTGGTCCCTGGACCTTGGATGTCCAAACTGTGAGCTCAATAAACATCTATTCTCTTAAATACTCTGACTCAGGTATTTTTGTTATTAGCAATGGACCAGACTAGAAGAATGCTCATAATACTACCACCTTACTATCCACAATTTGCCTTTTGAAAGTTTCCTTGATTAGTCATTTTCATTAGTCAGCTTGAGGATCTTATTTTGCATTGTTTTAATATTTATTGAGTATCTAAATTACACACGTTTAAACTTTTGCTCTTGAGGAATGTGTAATACTCTCTTTAAAATATTTATTATAATTTTACCAGGGTAAAATCAATTTAGTAATCAATACTTTAAAAAAACATACAGAAATTAGAATGAGAAAGAAAAATATAGTATATTATTATCTTCATATGCTATGGAAATGTTAGAGCCACTCATTTACCAAAATGTCAAAATGGTTTTTATCATTCTTTAGAGAAAATAATTTAAAATATCAAAAAAAAATTTTGTGGACTTAACACATAAGCTTTTTATCCAGCCAATTCAATTATTAAAGGACTTTGAAAGTACACATTGTCTTCTGGAGATAATTGGACTCCAAAGACATAAAGATAAAGAGAAAAGACTGGTCTGGTAAGAAGAGCTATTTATAGAAAGTACAGATTTCCTGACCAAATAGGACTCAGTTCTTCAGAAAGAAAGATAAGAGAAAGTACGCCAAACCTGCAGCTATTCCTCTATGAATTGACATTGTCAGTACTTTTATATATAGTTTGTTATGCCTATGAAATGATCCCTTTGGGGTCAGCAGATGGCATAATGGTTCCATCACTGGACTCTCACATGTCTGACTATGGTTCAAGTCCCAGACATGGCAGCTTGAAACTCATATCGGGAGCATGTGCATGTGTGCCCAAAATCCTGAGAGGAGAATGAAGGAGAACCGTGTCGCCCACCCCCCTGGGGGGGGGGGGGGGGGTCTCACTTTCTGTCTGTCTCTCAAGCGAAAGCACATGCCCTATGCAAAAATCTCTCAGAAAAAGAAAAAGATCCCTGTTAAAAAAATATTTTAATATCTGTCTATTGATGTATTTCTTAGGATATTAGGTCTCTAACCCCTTGTGCCGTAGATGAGCTAGACTGCTTTCTTGAACACTACAAATAACCAGTCTGGTATTTAAACAGCTCTTCCACATTATATAAAGTTCACTTAAAATGTAAGGGCTTTAATTTCCAATTTTTCTCTTAAATGTTTCTTATTAAAATATCTGTATGTATGGGACCAGCAGATGGCATAAAGGCTACATTGCTGGACTCCCACATAGTTGACTGTGGTTCAAGTCCCGGACCTAGTGGTTTAAACTCATGCTGGGCACATGTGCATGCATGCCCAAAATCCCGAGAGGAGAATGGAGGAGAAGGGATTGCGGCGTGGCCATCCTCCCAGGGGGGTGATTTCTCACTTTCTGTCTCTTGGTCTCTTGGTCTTTCTGGTGAGCACACACATCCTATAGCAAAAACCTCTCCAAAAAATTGTTTAAAATTTAAAAAAAAAAAAAAAGAGTTCCCTTGGTCAGAAAATAAAAGTAGCTTCTGAGACTTTAGTGAGATTTACAGATTTTGCACAACTACTTTTTCCTTTGCATTTTCCTAATAAGCATACAGGTACAGTACCAGAAAAATAATGTACCTCATTTTTATTTGCTTCTTTTCAGTTTTCATTCTCAGCTTGCAAGTTTAATGTTCAGAAGAGCAAAGAAGGAACAGGAAGGGTGGTAATGTGGAAAATGGGAATCAGGAATAGCTTTACCATGGAGGCCACCTTTTGTGGATCTACTCTGGGTAAGACCAAGTGTTCTCCTTCACAGCTCTGAAAACTTCTAACCAAATATATATTTTTAAAAATAAAAAAAAATTTTTAGGTTTTTGCCATAGATAATATACACTCACTGGAGAAAGACAGAAGAGGGGAAAGTAAATCATCCCCCAGTGGGGATGGCCAAGCCGCAATCCTTTTTCTCCATTCTCCTGTCAGGATTTTAGGCACACATGTTCATGCACCCAATGTGATTTATTTAAGTTGCCCTATCTAGGACTTGAACTGCAGTCGACCATGTGGGAATCTAGCACCTTAACCACCACACCACCTGCTGGCTCCACCAAAAATTTATTTTAAGTGTATAATTAATAATATAGACAATGTGATAGTACTTCCTTCCCATTCAAAAACATTCTGGGGGGACCAGCAGATGGTGTAATGGTTTTGTCACTGGACTTCCATGTCCTTGACCACGGTTCAAGTTCCGGACCTGGCAGCTTAAACTCATGCCAGGCATGTGTGTGTGCATGCCCAAGGTCCTGAGAGGAGAATGGATTGCGGCATGGCCATCCCCCCTGGGGAGTGATTTCTTGTTTCCTATCTCTCTGTCTCTCTCTGTCTTTATGGTGAGTGCACACACCCTATAGCAAAAATCTCTCTTAAAAAAAAAAAAATTCTGGGAGGAGAAAATATTGGAAAACCACTTATTTAACAAAGAACTATTTAATACTTCTTCGAAAGTTTTAAAGAAACCCTCAAGCTTCAACAGTAAAAAATAAACAATCTAATTAACAAATGGGCAAAAGATATGAAGAGGCATCTCAGTGAGGAGGATATACAGATGGTAAGTAAGTACACGAAGATGTGTTCAACAGCATTAGCCACTTAGGAAATTCCAATTTTAAGACCTACACAGGTATCAGGAGGGCTAAAAGAGAAAATGGTGACAATACCAAATGCTGGCATGGAAACAAACTAAATCACTCGGATACTGCTGGGAAACATCCAAAACAGCACAGTCACTCTTGCTTTATCTCTCTGTCTCTCTTGCTCACTAATGGAAGAAATAAAGAAACTTTTAAAAACACCTGATATTGGGACCAGCAGTTAGCGTAATGGCTATGTCACTGGACTCCCACATAGTCGACCGCGGTTCGCATCCCAGACCCAGTGGCTTAAAACTCCAGCCAGGCACATGTGCGTGCATGCTCAAGATTCTGAGATGAGCATTGAGGAGAAGGGACTGCAGTGTGGCCATCCCCCCTGGGGGGTGATTTCTCGCTTTCTGTCTCTCTGTTTCTCTGTCTCTGTCTGTCTGGCGAGCTCACGTGCCCTATAGCAAAAACTTCTCAAAAAAAAAAAGCCTGATATTTAATCAGTTCTATAAATAGGATAAATAAACATCCACTATATGGTATCTCTATTTCATCATTTCCCTCTATTTTCATCATATAGCTAGAATATGCATATTAGTTCTTTCATAAACTAATCTTCAGATGCTTGTTTTTATTGTTTTGAAGGAGTTACCTACAGATGTTTTAAATGGAGATTCTTAATGATTTTGAGGAAAATTAATGCACTTAAAATATATTTTTATTGGATATTTTATTTGCTATTTTCAAGACCAAATAGATTGAGGTGGTATTTTTTTGTTCATTTATATTTAAATAAAAGCATTTGGCTCACTGAACTAAAAATAGAAGTGTGCTCTGTACTTCCATTTTAAATTGTCACATTGTCAGAAAATGTATAAACTGAAAGGAAAGTGCTCAAAATCCACATATGTAATTTCTAGCTAGTTTTTAAGGTTCTTTGAAACCAATATCATGGTAATGAAAATATTTTCTCATAAAACCTTTGCCCAAGGTTTTTTCAAAGTGATTATTAGGTCTATTTATAATTGACCAGCCCTACAGTGTAGTGGTTAAGAGAACTGGATCCCACATGGCAGACTATGGTTTGCATCCCAATGCAAGTGGCTTAAAAGACACATTGGGTTGACCAGGCAGGTGGTGTAGTGGTTAAAGCACTGGACTTCCACATAGCTGACCACAGATCAAGTCCCAGACCTGCAGCATGCTTTCTCATTTTCCCTTCCTCTCTCTTTCTCTCTCTGGTCAAATTAAAAAGTAATAATAATTTAATTACTAAATAATAATAATAAATTTAATTAAATAAATAATAAATAAAATTCAATTAAAAAAAAAAACCTGGGCACATGTACATACATGCCCTAAATCCTGACATGATGGAGAAATGGAGCAAAATGGATTGCAACATAACCATGCCCCACTGGGGAGTTCGTTCTCTCTCTCTCTCTCTCTCTCTCTCTCTCTCTCTCTGTCTTTCGTTCTCACTCTCTCTTTTTCTCTTCTCTCTCTGGTGAGCATATGTGCCCTCTGAGAATTTAGGGGGAAAAAAGATAATCAAATATTCCTTAATAGTCATATTGCTTTTCTTCTGTGTTACAACATAGACTAATATGTATTAAGTCAGTTTTGGTCCAAATGGTGGAAAAGAAACATGGTCAACAATAAACTGTTAAGTAACTGTCGTCTCTAGAGAAAAAATCCACAAGATGAGATATGGGATCATATCAATGTTTGGTTTATACTCTGTGTTGCAAGGAAGATCTACCTGCTAAGGAAAAATGATTAACTCATCCTCAAGGGTGGATAAACTTATTGATGTTTTAGGTAATAAACGAGGCACTCATTTCAACACAAAAGACTTGGAGTCGATGGGCTATCATTTTTGTGATTCTCTCTTGGACTACTGTGATCCTGACCGGACAAAGGTAAGCAAAGTCTGTTTGGATATCCATCAAACTCCTGTCAATCAGATAACATAACCTACCTATGGGTCTACAGCAATTTTTTTCTTTTTAATATCTTAAAGTTTCCTGAGGGTTTTGGTATTTAATGTCCCAATAATTATTGTTCCAGGAGTCTCTAAATATTGAATTAGATTAACTAAGAAATTTATTTTATAATAAAATAATTTCTCCTTCTCCCCTAGTATTATCAGTGCCTGAAAGAATTAGAAGAAATGCAAAAACGTATAAACTTGGAGAAAGTCTTTGATGATTCAGATAATTCTCTGATAGAAATCACATTTGATCTAGAGTCTAGGTAAGTCAAGACCATCTAGTGAAGTACAGTTCTTAATGACAGGAATACACTCAGGGAAATATGTTATCAGACAATTCTGTCAATGTGTAATCATATGTACATACACAAGTCTAGATGGTATAGCTACTACACACGTAGGCTATATAGTATAGCCTGTTGCATCACCATTGTATATGTGGTTCATAATCAACTGAAATACCATTGTGTGAAACATGACTATAGTGTAATTTGTAATGCTAGTTTTATCATGCTCTTTATAATACTAGGATGTTGCAGGCATATTTGTATGCATATAAGGATACTGCAAGCATTTTGTTTTATCTCAGACATATACTAGGATATTACATATTAGGGTATTACAGGTATATGTGTATACATACAAATTGTATATATAAAACAATCAGGGAAATTTGAATACTAACTGGGCATTAGATTATATTAAAATTAGGACCAACAGGTGGTGTGGTGGTTAAGGTGCTGGACACTCTCACATGGCCGACCAGGGTTCGAGTCCTGAATCTGGTGACTTGCTTTCTCACTTCCTCTCTCACTCTCACCCTCTGTCTCTCTCTGGCCAAATTAAAAAAAAAATCAATGAATGAATAAATAAAATAAAATAAATAATTATTTTTAAAAAGATTATATTAAAATTGCGATTGTAATTCCAGCAGAAAGATTACAACTCACTGAAGACTCAGATAATTGTTAGCATATTATATCAAGAAAGTATTTTTAAATAAAGTATATACATTGTCTCTTCATATATAATGCTACTGCATACTTAACAGACTACAGTATACTGTAAATATAACTTTTATATGCAATGGGATACCAAAAAATTCGTGATTTGATTTATTATGATACTCATCTTATTCCAGTTATCTAGAACAAAACACACAATATCCTGTACTGTTAATTCTCAATAGAAAATTCCAACCATAATGGGGGAAATTTTCTCCCATGCATATTATTTTAAGCAGATTTCATCAAGACTTCATTTGATTTATTATCTTATTCAAATAATATAAGCATTACTGTGTACAGTATAGGTACTGTATATAAAAGATACATAACCTTTTGTTTCTTATTTTTTCTCTTTTTCTAATAGCCTTTATTTTTAGAGTGGCTTTAGGCTCACAGCAAAATTAAACATAAAGCATAGATATTTCCCATATATTCTCTACCTTCATGCATGCATAGTGTCTCCCATTACCAACATTCCTTGTCAGAGTGGTATATATGTTACAATTGATGAGTTTAAACTGACACATTATTATCACCGAATATCCATATTTTCCATTAAGATTCATTCCTGGTAATACACATTCTATGGACTTGGACAAATTTATAATGAAATGTTTTCATTGTTATAGTGTCATATAGAGAATTTTCACTGTGTAAATTTATCCTAGGAATCAACCTATTCCTCTCTCTCCTCTTCCTAATCCCTGACATCTATAGCTCTTTTTAGCTGTCTCTATATTTTTGTTTTTTTCCAGAATGTCATATAGTTTGGAATTGTACAATAGCAACCTTTTCAGACTGACTTCTTTCACTTGGTAGTATGGATTTAATTTTCCTCTATGTTTTTTCACACCTTAATAGCTCATTTCTTTTATGCACTAAATAATATTCCATCATCTGAATATACCTTGGTTTATTTATTCACTCAACTACTGGAGGACATCTTGGTTGCTTCAAAGTATGGGCAATTATAACTAAAGCTGCTATAAACAATCATGTGATAAAATTTTAAAATGCCAACATAACATTCTGTACACTAAAAAAAAATTATTTATTTATTTTTTTTGTAGCAGCCGAGGCTCTGACAGTTCAGATTCCGACTCTCAGACTTATCTTCTCAAGCTAACTTCTCAGGTATGATTAAAAATTCTTGTTTATGGTCTGGATATGCTAAGTAGGTACTCTTACTATGACTAACAATTAAGGACAAAAGGTTTGTAATTGGTAATTATTGTATGGTAATAATTATTATCTTCTAATTATGTGCATATTTTAAATCATAAATTTTTCTAACCTTAAATTTTTTTTATTTTTAACACCCTTATTTTATAGACAAGAACAGTTACGATCTAAAGAGATTAAATAACTTCTCAAAAGCCACACAGTTTGCTAGTGACAGAGGTGGTAGCCAAATGTACATCACCTGATTGCTATTCTAATATTCATTTATACATTTGTCAGTCAACTATATATATTAAGCTTCAACTATGTATCAAGTACTGCCTAGAGCACTAAACGAAATGAAATAAAACAAAATATTTCCCTTTGCTAACTTATATTCTGGTTCAGTGAAATCCATGTTACAAGAGAGATAAGTAAAATACTGTACATGTGTTAGATGGGGGGGGAGGAGCCTAAGGAGATCAAAGCAGGAGGATAAATAAGAAGTTTAGGTGGAAATTGCAGTTTGGGGTAGGAATTACCAAATTTGAAAGATGATACTTAAGAACTTAGAGATAAGCAGATAAGAGATAAGTATGTTAGCTGTTTTTTAAGGGGTAATAACTTCAAAACTTCAGTGTCTTACAACAACAACCTTTTATTTTCTCACTCATGGATCTGCAGGATGGCCCCAGTAGACTTGGGTAGGGTCAGCTTATCTTACCTTCAGGCTGCAGGTTGAGTTCAGTTATGGTTCACACGTTTCTCATTCTCCTTATGCCAGAAATCATCCAAGGCAGTGTCCTGTGATGAAAACTAGGAGTGGAAGAGGGAAGACCAAGCAATATAAGCTCATTTAAAGCAACATTTCCTCCTAGCAATCATATTTCAACCACCCCTTACAATATATTCACTAACACTCCATTAACCACAGGAATATATAAATGTGTGATTTATTTCACTGAGGTTTATTTAGCTTATGATTTTGGAGGTCCAAGGTCAGGGATTTGCATCTGCTTAGGGTCTTCCTATTAAAGATCTGAGGGCAATACATGTTGAGGGCAAGAGCAAAGCAAGAACACAGATTTCTGTGTCTCGTTCCATCTCCTTATAAATCTGATAGAATTCCTTCATGGGTGCCCCACTTCAGTTACCTTAATCCTAATCTCCCAAAGGCCCTATTTGTTAACACCATCGTCAGATTAAAGTTTTTACTCTCTTAATCCCATCACAGCCAAATTGCAACACATTAATTTGGGGGTACTTACTCTAATCATAGCAACCTCCTTGATTAAATTCACTTATAACATTTTTTTGCAGCTATTATACATGATATAGTTTATTTACTATTCAGATAGTTTGTTGTTAGTGTACAGAAATGCTGGGCAGCCCACGGCATATTAGTTAAGGTACTTGGATCCTATATTGCCAACCATGATTTGAAAAACACACCAGGCACATATATGTGTATACCAAAAATCCCAAAAGGAGGGAAAAATAGAAGAAAATGGATTTTGGCATGGCCATTCCCCATGGACTGGGGTGGGTGGGGGGATTGCTTTCTTGCTTTCCCTCTCCCTGTCTCTCTCCAGCAAGCACACACCCACCTCTGGCAAAATTTTAAAAAGAAGAAAAAAGAAATGCTACTGATTTTTGTATGTTTATTTTATATCCTGCAACTTTACTGAATTCACAAATTAGTTCTAACAATTTTTTGTAAAGTCTTTAGGATTTTCTATGTTGTCTACAAAGAGAAACTATTTAACTTCTTCCTTTCCTATTTCAAAGCCTTTTATTTCTATTGCCTAATTAGTCTGGGTAGGACTTCCAGTATCTGTTGAATAGAAGTAGTAATCCATGTTTTGTTTCTGATCTTGAGTACAATAGTGAAAAGCTATAGTCTTGTCGTATATGACCTTTATTGTGTTGAAGTACATGCCTTCTTTACCTAACTTGTTGAGAGAGTTTTTATCATGAAAGAATGTCAAATATTGTCAAATGATTTTTCTGTATCTGTTGAGATACAGAAAATGACTTTATAATTATTTCTATACAAAATATGCTTCATTCTGTTAATGTGTATCACATTTTAGATTTAGATATGTTGAACCATCCATGCATGCCTGGGATAAATTCCATTTGATCATGGTTAATGATTTTTTTAAGAGAGATTTTTGCTATAGGATACATGCCCTCACTGGAGAGATAGAGAAAGAAAAAGCAAGAAATCATTCCACAAGGGGTATAGCCACACTACAACACCTCCTCCTCCATTCTCCTCCTGGGATTTTGGGCACACACGCACACCCGCCCTACATGAGTTTCAAGTCTCTGGGTCCAGGACTCAAACCATGGTTGGCCATGTGGGAGTCCAGAGCCCTAACTATTACTCTACCCACTAGCACCAATTAACGATCCTTTTAATGTGCTGTTGAATTCAATTTGTTAGTATTATGTTGAAGATTTTTTCATCTGTGTCTGTCAGGGATATTGACCTGTAATTTTTTTCCTCTGGTGTCCTTATGTGGCTTAGAATATTTCTGACCCATAAATCAGTTTGAAATTATCCCCACTTCTCAATTTTTTGGTAGTTTGGGAAAGATTGATATTAGTTCTGTGTATGATTTTCCATTCCCAAGAGCAATATATAAATGATACAGTTTGTGTTAATCTTTACCCAAATTTTGTATTGTCACTTTTTTTTAACCATTCTGGTGAGTGTGTTGTGATATCTCATTGTGGTTTTACTTTGCATTTCCCTGATGGCTAATGATGTTGAACAACTTTTCATGTGTTTAATTACCCAATCTCCTGCTTAGCCTTCTCTGACACCACCCTGATAAAGGGGTTGTGGTGCCTCTTCACAGCCTGGCAAGGATGAAAGTCAAAGCTCTCACTACCCTTTGTTGCATGGGTAAGTGTGGAGTGTCACAGTTTTTTCTTTGGTATGAGGCTCGAGCAGAGCAGTATCATCTAAAAGCGTTTGATCTTTCTGTGCTACCACTCTCCTGGTCCCTTGGCTAGAGGGAACAGGTTTTTAAAAATCTGCACTCATGGAGTCAGCAGGTAGCGTAGTGATTGAGGCACTGGTCTCCCACATGTCTGACCACCATTCATGTCCAGGACCTGGAGGCTTGAAATTCATACCAAGCACATGTGCATGCTTGCCCAAAACCCCAGGAGGAGAAAGGAGGGGAGAAGGTGTTGTGGCATGGCCATCCCCCAAAGTGGTAATCTCTCGCTTTCAGTCTATCTCCTCAGCGAGTTCATGCACCTTATAGGAAAAATCTCTCTTAAAAAAATATCTGTACTCAGGAACCAGCAGTTAACGTAATGGCTATGTCTCTGGACTCCCACGTAGTCAACCACGGTTCACGTCCCGGACCCGGTGGCTTAAAACTCACGCTGGGCGCGTGTGCATGCGTGCCCAAGATCCCGAGAAGAGAATGGAGGAGAAGGGATTGCGGCGTGACCATCCCCCCTGGGGGGTGATTTCTCACTTTCTGTCTCTCTGTCTCTGTCTGTCTGGCGAGCGCACATGCCCTATAGCGAAAAACCTCTCAAAAAAAAATATATATCTGTACTCATTGGCATTTCTGGTTATATCTGGCTGGGATATGCAAGGCAAAAAGAAAATCCAGAAATATACCATCATGCCACTCCTGTTGTCCTGAAATACCTAGCTAGTCTGCCCTTCCTTTCTACATTTTAGAGATTCTTGTATTTGCTTTGTATATAATAGCTAGTGTTTTGGGTTGTACATAATAGAAGAAATACACAGTGCTTCACCATCTTCTTAGAAGCAGAAATCTCAAGATAGTTTTATGTCTGCATATATACTGTTTTTGATGTGTTTATTATATATTGATTTTAAATATGATTTTCCTAGATAAAAGCCAAGACAAAATATCTAAAAACAGAAAAAGAAAGGAATTCTACCACTATAAGCAACCAAAATGCTACAGAAGAGCAAGAGGTAAATCTTCATTGATTAGGAAGGAATTTTAGAATAATGAAAAGTGATCATAGTTAAGTCTTCTACACAGCATTTTTTCTCATCTGTGCAAAATGTATGTAATATGAAATATGATAAATTCCTTTATATTAAATGTATTTTCATCTTTATTGCTCAAAGCTCTAAAAGCTCTTACGAAATTACACTCTATTTTTAAGGTTGGTTATTCCCAAGTGGAAAATAATTTTTATTTGTTCAAATGCTTTCAGAAAGTTGCACATATTCTAAATGTGCTTATAAGCTAGTAGGAGTTCCTGGTAACTGATCCTGAAATTTCTTTTCTAAATATCTTTGACAAAAAGCGTGAACAATCTCATCTTTAACTGAAGTAAATGGCTGAGGGCAACTTAAATTCACTGTCCTGAACTGATGGTTTTCTATTGTAATTGTTTGCTTGTAAAATATCAGTGTGTTCCTGAAATAATACATTAGTATTGGTAAATTATTTTTAAATTATTTTAGTTAACTTTATTTCTTACCAAGACACTCTCAATCACTGATTTTTAAGACTTTCAACAGAAACAATTATCGATTACTATGGTTAGAAATTGAAGATCATGTTCATAAGATAACTAGCCTGATGATATTTCCCAGTGGAATAAATGTAAAAGTTGATATGCCTCACAGCATGATTTCACTCAAGAAATGAGGGCTTAAAATGACACCAAGAGTTTACTCAGTGAAATCTTATACAAATGAATTTCCTTCAGCCTGATTTCATTCTTGGTCTTCACAAATTCTGGTGATTTATGTCACGTCATTATTTTTAACTTTGTGTAATTTTTCCAGAACACTTTTCTTTCTCTTTTGCTTTGATAATCAAGTTTGATTGTCATATTTTCCTTCCATTTTCATACTAATTTTGTCAAGTTTTTGCTGCTAATCAATTATACCTGTAAGGGAGTCGATTTTAGCTATTTACTCATAGCCCACTTTTATCGTGAAGTGATATGCATTACATGTCAAAAATGTCAATTCCTTTTTCTTTTCTCAAGCCCTTTTAGAAAGTTCTATATAATATCCATAAGCCACAGATACAGCAACGAAAGTTTAAAAGCATTTAGAATGTTTTCAGGGTCACACCATAATTTGCAGACTACCCAAGTTTAGTAGTTACAGGCTGGCCCCAAGACACTATGCTTAAGTGCTGTGCATTGGTGGTCAGATCCCACATGACCAACCCTGGTTCAAACGTTAATCCCAGCAGCTTGAAAAATACAGCAAGTGCTTGCGTGCCCCATATCCTGAAGGGAAGGAGAAATAGAGGAAAAGGATTTGCGGTATGACCACCTGCCACTGGGGGGTGCTCGCTCTCTGTCTCTCTGCCTAGTGCAAATAAATACCCTCTGGCAATTAAAAAAAAAATCATTAGCAGTCACAATTCCATGGCATTTTATGTGTTATTTTAGTCCAACTTAGTCATGTCATCAAGTCCTTTCAAGAGAACAAGCAATGTCATATGTTCATGTCCTTCCTTACTCTGGATTCCTTTTCAAGCTTCAAAAAACTTAAGTTTTATCTTTTGTACATAAGCATAATTTTGCAATTCTGTTTATGTATTTTCACATAGTATTATATTTTCACCCATTTCACATTCTTCCTTTTTTTCTTCCTCACTCCTATCTTCACAGATTTATTTTCTAATTCAAGTGAGGTTATAAACATACATTGTTTTTGTTTCTTTCTCATCATAAGTAAGTTCTATGTAAAGTGGAAAAATGTTATACTCCCTTTAGTGCTCAAAACAATACTAATATTTTCTTCTACTTATTTTGATGCAGGAGAAAAGTAGTGTGAAAGATACTGAGGGTTGTGATTTGTAAGATATGTTTGACCATTCTAAACCTAACTTTATACCTAAATGAGAGCCTATTCTAAAATGAGGAATGTTTGTTGAAAACTCACCATACCATAACCATAAGAAATATGCCCCATTTTCATGTGTATTACATAGTATTATTTTCCATTTGATTCTGTGTTCCATTAGGCTTATGGTAGAGGGCATTTACTGCAGAGACTCAAAGAATCATATTCTGATGTGAAAGGTAATGTTCTGCTTTTACCTTCTCATAAACAATTAACCTATTTGCTCAACACATACTTTTTTTGTGCCACGTTTTTTAGTGTACCATTGTGCTCGGTGCTAGTGATAGTAAGAAATATATGACACCATTTCTTCCCTGCAGGAGCTCATCTTTTAATCAGGGAAGAAAAGCAAATAGACAAGTTAAACACGGTGTTACAGGTACAATACCAGTACTCTGTTCAGGGTTCCCAGGAGGCACAGAGAAAGGAATAACCAGTTTTATTGGTGGGTAGAGGTTCACACATTTGAAGGCTATCCCCACCGTTTTGAAAGGTTCTTCTCCTGAGTATAAGAATGTTATGTTTTGAAAGTTGTCTGGTTACTCTCATTTCATAATTTTATGGAGGATGAGCATGTTAGATAAATTAAATGATAGAATATTCATTTGTTTCTACTAAAACATGCAGTCTGATGGGAATCTGACTTTGTAATATCTCTGGTATTTTTTTCTCATGTTTTATCACTGTTTTTTTAGTTGAGATCTTTTGGGGGAGAAATCATATATAGCTTAAGCAATATTTTAATTTTATCTGGAATAATGATTTAATTCACATATATGTTTATTATACATTTATACTATACCTACTTGCAAAAAGAAGTTGACATTAAATAATTAAATATACATAAATGCATATATATATATATATATATATATATATATCCATTTAGTTTATTTTATAGCAAACTAATTAAAAATAGAAATGGAGATAGAAGGCACACCAAGAAAAGGAGAGAATTCTGGGGACCAGCAGTTAGCGTAATGGCTATGTTGCTGGACTACCATATAGTCAACTGCAGTTTGAGTCCCAGACCCGGTGGCTTAAACTCACGCCGGGCGCATGTGCGTGCGTGCCCAAGATCCCTAGAGGAGAATAGAGGAGAAGGGATTGCGGCATGGCCATCCCCCTGGGGGGGATTTCTCGCTTTCTGTCTCTCTGTCTGTCTCTGTCTGTCTGGAGAGCACATGCGCCCTATAGTGAAAACCTCTCCAAAACAACAAAAAAAAGATGGTTAATTCACTTGAACTTTAAATTAATTATTCTTTCTAATAGTGATCAGCCAAGGAATTCAGTTACTTTTTATAGTAACTTTTGTATATCCTTTTGTTAAAAATGTGATGTCAGAAATTACAAATAAAGATAAGGAAAAGAAAGTAAAATCACATTGCAGAATATGTTTTTTGGAACCAGCAGTTAGCGTAATGGCTATGTCGCTGGATTCCCATGTAGTCGACCGCGGTTCGTGTCCTGGACCCGGTGGCTTAAAACTCACGCCGGGCACGTGTGCGTGCGTGCCCAAGATCCCGAGAGGAGAATGGAGGAGAAGGGATTGCGGCGTGACCATCCCCCCTGGGGGGTGATTTCTCGCTTTCTGTCTCTATGTCTCTCTCTGTCTGTCTGGCGAGCGCACGCGCCCTACAGTGAATATCTCTCCAAAAAAAAAGAATATGTTTTTTGACCTTTTTCTATATCTATACATATATGTATAGATATATACACACACACACTACATGTTAGTGAGCCACATAATCTTCATGTTATTTTGTAACTTTATTTTTCATTTAAAATTACAGTATATTATAAATCTCTTTACATGTGAGTAAAGGATGGCAAAGTATATGCTATCAGTGAAACTTTAACCACCCTTGTTTTAAAATTTAATTTATTTACAGTTTTTTTCAATTGCAAACTACAAATGAAAACCTTATAACTCTCTATTTGTGTGTGTTCTTAATTATTTCTTTATAATAAATTCCTAGAAATAAAATTGCCGTCCCAAAAAGTGTGACATTTTTAAATGCAACAAAAATTTCTAAGATTTGAAGACAGCTTATATTAATTCATTGAATTAAACTACTCTTATACACATTATTTGCTAGCACTTTCTATTTTGAAAAATAAGAAAGGTAAATGAGTCAATGGGTTCTTGTTATGCCACTATGACCTTTTACTATCCTCTCTAGATTCAAGGTCGGATGTACCAGATGATTTTATAGTTGATTATTTCAGAAGACAGTTACCTAATCAAGGTTTAGGTGAGTAAAGAAGAATATAGAAATGAGTAGTCACGTCACCTATCATCTGAATGTGTGCAATATAATAATAAACATATGATCGACATTTACATACAAAAAAGTAGATTATCTTAAACTTAGACAGCCAAGGAACTATTTAACCTTCCTAGAAATTTCAAAACTCAGATTTTTATTTTGCTCTCTAGAAATATATAGAGAAAAACCAGTAGAATTTTATTATATATCTGCTTGCTTTCTTGCAATTTTGCCTGGGGGAAAAAAAAAGAATATTCTTTTCATTGTCTAATCATTTTATTCTCATCTCACCTAATCTTAGAGACGAGAAACCTTGAGAGAATTCTAATCTCATCACTTACTCATTACAGGATCCAGGCTTATCCAAGCTTTGATTGACTACATTTAGGGACAAGTAGTTTAGTAAATTGCAGTATCATTCATTCCATTGCTAGAGAATGATGGCATTAAAAAATTATTTTTGAGTTAAAAACTTTTCTTTGTAAATTTCATTCACCTCCCTTAACCTACCCTTTCTAATAACATAAAATAGTGAAGAAATTTTAGAACTAAACAATTTCAATTGAGTTTTCCCTAGTTCTCCTTGAAATAATGAGAAGGATTGTTAAGATCTTCTCTACATAATAGATGTGAAGTGTTTTTTTAAAGCTATCATTTATTTCCCTAAAGCTTTCCTTCCATTTCTTTCAACCATCCATAATATGCCATGGTTCTAGGCCCTTTACCATCTTACTTTACAAGTTCTCTCACCACTTGAGCTTATATGAAACTGGACTCCATACTGCAGATGCCATCTAATGAGAGCATAAGTCATCTTTATTCTCATTTACTATTTCTGGACTATAGATTTAATATTTGTTCTAGTGTTTGTTCTTTTGAAAATTATTCTAAAATACTAACATACTGGATTTACACATACTAAAATGTATAAAGGTTTATTTTCATAGTGTCACTGGTAAGTTGTGTCTCCTGTATGTTTTGTTTCTTCAGTTAGTATCTTGGTTCAATGGTGCTAGGCCTTAAATTTGTTCTAGTTAAACCTTTCTATGATTATAAAAAAAAAATAATAAAACAGGTCCAGCTCCATGACCTGGTGGTTAAGGTAGCTGCATCCCACCTGGCCAACCCTGCAGTTTACCATGACCTGGTGGTTAAGGTAGCTGCATCCCGCCTGGCCAACCCTGCAGTTTGAGTCTCAGATCCAGCAACTTGAGAAACACACCAGGCACTTGTGTATGCATGCCCAAATCCTAAAATGAGGGAGAAAAGGAAGAGAAGGGATTATACTGTGCACATTCCCCATGAGGGATGCTTTCTCCTCTCTCTCGTTGTCTCTCTCTGGCAAGTGCAAGCACCCTCTTGGGAGGAAAAAAAGGAAGAAAAAAAGAAAGAGAAGAAAAATAAACAATATTCTTTTAAATTATAGTAAAACCACAAACTGCAATCTGTTGTATGTATTAACACACACATGGCATGTCTAGGGAAGTCCTTAGACACAAACCCAGGATCTTCCTTATGTAAGTCCAGTTGTGTTACTACTGTTTCATTTGGCCTTGCCAAGGTAACCATTTTAAACCTTTCCAGCCTTGCCAAGGTAACCATTTTAAACCTTTTCCCTCTTTCCAGTTCTTTTGGACGTATATTCAGAAGTGAAATTGCTAGATCATATGGCAATTTTATTTTCAATTTTTTGAGAGACAACATGTTTTCCACAGTGGCCTTATCATTTTACATTCTCATCAGCAGAGCCCAAAGCTTCCAATCTCTCTAGATCCTTGCCAACACTTTTTTTTTTCTTGTTTTGTTTTGTTTGTAAATATTTGTTTGCTTTTTATTTGATTATTTTTTGTTGTTTAATAGCAGCCATACTAATGGATATGGGTTAGGATAAACACTTTTTTAAATATGTTATTGTACTCTACTATTAAAATTAACAAAACAAACAATAGTTCTTTCCTATCATCTAATAAAGAAAGAATTTCTAACATGTTCTTCTTATGGTCTCCCCATGTTTCTATCTTTCCATTTCCTCAATTTGGAAGCTTTGGTACCACCACTGATTCCTCTCTTATTCTATCATGTCATACTCAGTTCTTTGGAAAATCCTAAAATATATCAATAGTTCCCCCACCAACTTCTCATCCTTCTAGCTAGTTCTGCCACCTTCATCCAGACTGCCACCCTCTCTCCTGGCTTGGTTCAAAAGTCTTCCAATAGATCTTCCTTCACGTTCACTCTTGCCTCTCGTCCTCTATTCTCAACTCAGTAAGCAGCATGATCCTGCTTTTTTAAAAAATCTCAGATTGTGACACTCTTCTGCTCAAAGCCTTCCAGGGGTCCCCCTTCTCACACTCAGTAAAAATTCCTCCGATGGCCTGTGATGCCCTCATCAGCTGAGTCAAAGTTACCCACCTAAACTGAGATCTTGTAACGTTCCACTTAGAATGTTGTTTCAGCCACCAGCGTCATGGTGTTTACCACACTCCTATCTCAGGGCCTTTCATTTACTGTTGCCTAAAGTTTTTTCTCCTTTATCTGCCTGACTCATTTGCTAACACCTATCACATGTTCAGTTTCATGAGAAGTCTTTGTCTTCACATCTTATAAAACGAAGACCTTCCCTCTCCAAGAATTCTCTATTCTCCTCCCATCTTTACTGTACCTGGTGAACTTTATCATTTCATAGCATTCAATGTATTTAACCTGCTTATTTTCTTCCTAAATGTAAGCTTCAGATATGTCAAAATTTTTAGATCAAATCCCTACATGCAATGCTTGATAAATAATTGTCATATGAAAACAGTTAATATAGCTGTATATATTTTTGTGATTGCTCCCCAGATATGCCTCACAACTTAAAAAGCAAAATGAAAGAATGCACATCTTTCCAAAGTAAGAAGACTGGCATAAATTGGACAGATGATGAAAAAAGAATCTACAGGGATAAAAGAATAGCTCAAGCTCACATATTGCAGTATTTGTTCCCTGTCATGCAAAACCCTAAAAACATGAAAACCCCTCCAATAAAACAATTGTTCAATCCAAGAACCAACTTTCAAATCCAACATCAGTAAGTCAATGCAACTTTATCATTTTAGCTATTTTATAGTCTTTTTTATGGAAGCAAGTCTTATTAATTTATTCTCCTAAGAAATTGACAAAAGTTTTGGGGCCAGCAGGTGGTGTGGTGGTTAAGGGTGCTGGACTCCCACATGGCCGACCATGGTTCAAGTTCCGAACCTGGCAGCTCTCTCTCTCTCTCTGTCCCTCTCTGGTCAACTTAAAATAAATAAAAATGAATACATGAATAAAATTAAATAAAATAATTTTTAAAAGAAATGGACAAAAGTTTTTAAAAATGGTATCAGCAAGGCAAGCAGGTAGCATTTTGGTTAAAATGCTGACTCAAACATGGCTGACCATGGTTCTAGTCCCAGATCAGCAGCTTGAAACTCATGCCAGGTCCATGAGCATGCATGCCCCAAATCCCAGGAGAATAATGGAGGAGAAGGGATTGTGGCATGGCCCTCCCCACTGGGGGAGGGGAGTGATTTCTCACTTTCTCTCTCTCTCTCTTTCTCTGTCTGTCTCTGGCGAATGCACACACCCTATGGCAAAAAAAAAAAAAAAGTATTAGTTACACTACATTTGATAAGCTGAAGCCATAAGAAATAGGAAGGAGTGGGACCAGCAGATGGTGTCATGGTTACATCACTGGACTCCCACATGGCCCGACTGGGATTCGAGTTCCAGACTCAGTGGCTTGAAACTCCCACTGGGAGCATGTGTGTGTATACACAAAATCCCAAGAGGAGAATGAAGAAGGGATTGCGGTGCGGCCATATCCCCTGGGGCAGGTGATTTTTCTCTTTCAGTCTGTCTCTCCAGTGAGTTCACATGCCCTATAGCAAAAATGCCTCAGAAAGAAAGAAAGAAAGAAAGAAAGAAAGAAAGAAGAAAAAAGAAAGAAGGAGTAAGTTATTAGGCCTTTTTTGATTCATTATTTGCATGAAACTACTTAGTAATTTGGATCTAAGAATAAATTATCCTTAAATAAAGTATTATAATAGGATGACTTGAAATTTTTCAGGTGTTTTTTAAAGCTTATAATCCTAGGGAGCAGCAGGAATTAAAAAGTATTAACCTGAGATACTTTAGTTTATTAATAGAGGAAAGTAGAAGGAGTAAGACCATATTCTTTAAAGATAAAGAACAAAAGAAAACCCAAAGGAATAATAGGAAAGACAGTAACAAGCTAAAAATAATGGGTTATCAGAAATGTCATGACATATTTTTTCTGTTTTTCTCTCTCTGGTTAAATTAAAATAAATGAATGAATAACTAAAAATTAAATAAATATTGGGATCAGCAGTTGGCATGATCGCTGTGTCGCTGGACTCCCATGTAGTCGACCATGGTTCGAGTACCAGACCCAATGGCTTAAATGCACACCAGGCACGTGTACATGGATGCCCCAGATCCTGAGAGGCGAATGAATGGAATGTAGAAAACACTGAACAGGTGTTACTTCTTTTCTTTTTTAAGAGTTTTTGGGTTTTTTGTTTTGTTTTGTTTTGTCTTTTTTTTTTTTTTTTTTTTTTTTTTTTTAAGTGTAAGGTACTGAGGGCATAAGAATTATTGAAAAATACAAGGTTACTCATGGAAACAGAGGGAAAGTAAATTCGGCTAGACTTTAGGAAGGGACTAGAACTAGGAAATGGAAAACTACCAAGGCTCTTTGTTTGTATTTATTTTCTGCTTTTCTCTGTGCAGAAGAGCATGTATACTGAATTGATTCTAACAGAATAAACAGAGTAGGTTTTTAGAGCAAAACGGAATTTTAGAAACCATCTACTTCAGCTAGATGTATAGGTAAGGAGATGAGACCCAGCGTGGCTATTATATCAGGAAGGTGGGTAAGGGTAGGTAGCCAAATAAACATATCCTCCAAACCTTTGAAGTACAAGATTGGGGGGCCGGAGGTGGCATGGTGGTTGGGGTGGCTGGACTCCCACATAGCTGACTGTGGTTTGAGTCCCAGACCTGGCAGCTTGCTTTCTCACTGTCCTTCTCTTTGTGTCTCTCTTTGATCAACTTCAAAATAATAAATAAATAAAATTTAAATAAATGAATAAAATTAAATAAAATCTTTAAAAAACAAAGAAGTACAAGATTGGGATAGTACTGAAAAATAATGATTGGATATGGAAGGTTTAGATTATTCTCATAGAAATGATGGTAAAAGGCTTAAGGGATGGGGGTCAGATGGTGTCACCTAGTGGTAAACCACAATGCTCTACAAGGCTGACCCACATTGGAAAGTTCTGAGTTTACATCTAGAAACTACCCTGAGTACACGTGCATGACCATGATCCAGGACTGCCTGATTTCAGGGTGGTTCAATATGTCAAGATCCACTGGGGGCGCTGTCTCTCTGTATCTCTCATTCATGGAAGAAATGAATAAATAAACATAAAAAGTTTTAAGGAGGATAAATTCACTGAAGGGGGAAAAATATGATTTATACTATGACAGTACACCCGAGACTACAGATTAAGAATATATTGGACAGGGGCCAGCAGGTGGCATGGTGGTTAAAGGTGCTGGGTTCCCACCTGGCCAACCGTGGTTCAAGTCTTGGACCTGGCAGCTTACATTTTCACTTTCCCTTTCTCTTTCTCTCTCTGGTCAAATTAAAAAATAATAATAACAAATTGAATTCAATAACTAATTATTTTAAAATAGAAAAAAGAATATATTAGACAAAATTTCACCTACGTCTTTTTTTTTTTTTTTTTTAGACTAAAGGCAGCTAGTTGCATAACTATAAAGAGAAGCAGCACATCTTGGACACCACCCATAAATCCCCCTTTCATAGCCCAAAGGAATCTTGAAGTAACCTCTTCAGAATGTTTCCAGTCTATGTCCCAGAGGTCATTTGAAAAAGTGTCCCCTCTCAAAAGCCCTAAGAAGAGGAAAAAACATTCTCGAATCTGGGCTGCAAAGACCGAAGGCATGCAACCTCTTAGCAGTAAATGGGAGACTGCTCCCTCAAGTTTTGAAGTGAACGAGGATATTAGAGAAGAGAAAGCTGAAGATTCCAGCCAACAAAGCTCTAAGCACATAACCCCTCATCTAACTAAAAATAAGGGCGAGCAACCAAATAAGAATGAATAACCCACCTTCCCTCTGAAGTTCCAAGAAGACAGTTAATATAGCTTTATGCTGCTTGGAAAACCATGGATGAAAGATAACATATGCCTACATAGTAAAGAAAAAAAGAAAGAAAGAAAGAAAACCGGCCCCTTTTTCCCCTCCCTAGTCTCCCCCCGCACATGCATATACATTTACTAAACTGCAAATGCTAGATATCCCATCTTCTTCAGTGGGAACATCTTTCAGAGTTATTCTTAAATCCAGAAAAAATATAGAAACTTTTAAAGTACTTAAATATTTATATTTAATTTTTGTCAACATGAAAAAAGAATCTCTGATCTTTTAATTTCTTCCAAAATTACTTATGCATTCAACTAAAACAACCAAAATACTAAGAACTCTAAAAATTAATGACATGGACTATCACTGGTTTTAACCTCCCTATACCAGCACTTTAATGAATCTGTCAACAAACAACACTTACTGAATTTCTGTTAGGTTGTCGATGTACTAAGAACTGTTGATGATACAAAAATCATTTGTCCCCACTACCCGTTCATCATATAATTGTACATATAAAACACACATGACTAAAGGATAACAGAATGAGATAATACATGGTAAAGTGCTAAACTGCACCTCCAACAACTAGAGAAAATATATATTAAAAGGTGCTCGCCACAAGGAACAAAAGTGGCACAAAATGGCACTGGAATGCATAGATTTTGGCTTAGTCATTTTATATTTCAAAAGTTAGCAAAGATGTAAAAGGTTAGATGTACAGTTTCCTTTAGAGCTGGTGAATGCGTATCTTCAGCCATTTTTTCACAGGGACACTCTGGAGCAAGCCCAACACCTCATAGTCTATTCATATGACGGCACTAAGATTCCAGAAGGCCACACAGATCATTTATCCTAATCAGGACCAATGCCTAACCTTTGAGGAAATCTTGAATTTTAATTCAGTAGAATCGCATTTGAGCCTTAGAAATTATAAACACTGGACATGAATATCTTTGTGAGTGACAGTGATAAGCCAGTTTCTTGGAAAATTGAGGATGCAGAGATACTGCCTAAATAATTTTAGCATCCTCTCCACCTAGTAGTATACCTGGCAAACCCCTACTTCATCTTTTTTTTATTATTATTATTTGCCAGAGGATTGTGTGCTCACTAGAGGAAGAGAGAGAGAGAGAAAAAAAAAAATGAGAAAACTTCAATGGGGAATGGTCACACTGCAATTCACCTTCATTTCTCTCCCCTTTGGGGATTTTGAGCAAGCACATACACATCTCAAGAAGCCTCCAGGGACCAGCAGTTAGCATAATGGCTATGTCGCTGAATCCCATGTAGTTGACCACGGTTTGAGTCCCAGACCAGGTGGCTTAAACTCATGCCAGGCGCATGTGCGTGAGTGCCCAAGATTCCGAGAGGAGAATGGAGGAGAAGGGATTGCAGCATGGCCATCCCCCCTGGGAGGTGATTTCTCACTTTCTATCTCTCTGTCTCTCTCTGTCTTTCTGATGAACACATGTGCCCTATAGCACAAACCTCTCCAAAAAAAAAAAAAAAAGCCTCCAGGTCCAGGACTCAAACTGCACAGTCAACCACATGGGACCCAGCCATTTCAACCACCATGCCAGGGGCTGGCCTACCCCATATCACATTTAAGATTCAATGCAAGGGTTAGCTTCTCTGGGAATTTTTCCTAGATTCCCCCCCAAGAATTTTAAACAACTATGATTAATATACTGAGAATTCTAGTGGGAAAAAGTGGACACAAAGCAAGAACAGTTGTATCATATAAGCAGAGTGATAGAAACTAAGAAACAGAAAGAAATGCTATAAATAAAAAACACAGCAAAAGAAGAATGATAGACCCAACGATAGATTAGACACATGAGGAAAGATCACTGAGTTTAAAGAAATGTCAATAGGGAACCAGCAGTTAGCGTAATGGCTATGTCGCTGGACTCCCACGTAGTCGACCGTGGTTCGTGTCCCGGACCCGGTGGCTTAAAACTCACGCCGGGCACGTGTGCGTGCGTGCCCAAGATCCCGAGAGGAGAATGGAGGAGAAGGGATTGTGGCGTGACCATCCCCCCTGGGGGGTGATTTCTCGCTTTCTGTCTCTATGTCTCTTTCTGTCTGTCTGGCAAGCACACACGCCCTATAGCGAAAAACCTCTCCAAAAAAAAAAGAAAAAAGAAAAAAGAAAAGAAACTACCAAAACTTAAATGCAAAGAGAAAAAAGGATTAAAAAATATAGAATGCCCCAAAACTAAAGGACAATTACAAAAGATGCAATACATGTAAAAAAAAAAATATATATATATATATATTGGAAGTCAAAGAGAGAAAGGAACAGAAAAACTATTTGAAGCAATAATGACAGAATTTCCCAAAGTTACTGACACCAAATCACAGATCTAGAAAGCTATTCCAGGGAATACCAAGAAAGGTCAATGCCAAACTTAACCTAAAATATCATATACAAACTGAAGGAAAAGACCAAGAAAAAAGCTTGAAAGAGGCCAGAGGAAAAAAACCTTAGTATAAATGAGCAAGCGTAAGAATTACATCAGGTTTCTCTTCATGACCGAGGCAGGGAAAAGAGTGGAATGAGATGTTTATTGTGTTAAATGAACTACTGTCTTAATCAGCTCAGGCTTCCATAACAATGCAGACTGGGCTGTTTACACAACAGAAATGTATTGCTCACAGGTCTGAAGGCTGTGAAATCCCTGATCAAGATGCCAGCAGATCTACTGCCTGGGGAGAGCATTCATCCTGGTTTGCAAATAGCCTTTTTCTTCTTGTATGGAGAGAGAGAGAGAATCTGATGTCTTTTCTTACAGTGACACTAATCGCACTGATGAGGGCTTCTACCTCTTGAAGACCCCACATCCTAATACTGTCTCTTTAGGATTAGGATTTTAATATATGAATTTGAGGTGTATACAAACATTAGTCCATAATAATCTCTAATGTCGGGACCAGCAGTTAGCGTAATGGCTGTCGCTGGATTCCCATGTAGTCGACCGCGATTCGAGTCCGGGACCCGGTGCCTTAAACTCATGCCGGGCACGTGTGCATGCGTGCCCAAGATCCTGAGAGGAGAATGGAGGAGAAGGGATTGCGGCGTGGCTATCCCCCCTGGGGGGTGATTTCTCGCTTTCTGTCTCTCTGTCTCTCTGTCTGGCGAGCACACGCGCCCTATGGCAAAAACCTCTCCAAAATAATAATAAGTAAAAATAAATAAATAAATAACCACTAACATAGAATTCTGTTTCTAGTGCCATTCTTTCAAAATGAAGGAGAAATAGACTTTCTCAGACAAGCAAAAATTGATAGAATTTGTCACCAGTAAACCTGACTTACAAATATTTTAAAAAGCTTTTTAGAGAAGGAAAATTATATAGGTTAGAAACTATGGTCTGCGGGACCAGCAGACGGCATAATGGTTATGTTACTGAACTCCTATGTACTCAACCATGGTTCGAGTCTTGGGCCCAACAGCTTAAAACTCATGTGTATGCATGCCCAAAATCCCGAGAGGAGAATGGAGAAGGGATTGCCATCCACCCTGAGGGGTGATTTCTCCCTTTCAGTCTCTCTATCCCTGTCACCCTATAGCAAAAAATCTCTTTACAAAAAAAAAAAAGAAAAAGGAAGAAAAAAAAAACTATGGTCTGCATAAAGAAAGGGATTGCAATAGGGAAGGAATAAGCAAAGGTAAAATCTTTTGTATCTTTTATTTCTTAAAGATTTTTCCTATAAGGTGTGTGTGCTCACTGAAGAGATAGAAAGCGAGAAATCACCCCTCAGAGGGGATGTCTATGCCACAATCCCTTCTCCTCCATTCTCTCGGGTTTTGGGGCACGCATGCACATGCATCTGGCATGAATTTTAAGCCACCGGGTTTGGGACTCAAACCACAGTTGACCACGTGGGAGTCCAGCGATGTAACCATTACACCATCTGCTGATCTCAAAATGCTTTGTTTTTCTTAATCGCCCTAACAGATAACAATTTGTCAAAGTAGTAATGGTAATAGTGTATTCAGACATTATAGCTTATGGGTAATTGAAATGAGTGTTATGATATGCTATGTGTGTAGCAGTAATGATTTTAGGGATAGGAGAGAGGAACTAGAAATACCTTGTTACAACATAACTTGCAGTACACAGGAAATGAGAGGTATAGTGTTACTTGAAAGAGGACTTGAATTTGTTATAAACGTATATTGTAAACACAAGAGTGAAAAAGAAGTAGAATCAATATCCTAAAAGAGGAAAAGTAGAGTCTTACAGCATACTAAATTAAAGCAAGAGGCACAAAAGGAATGAAAGGCAAAATAAGAAAGAGCAAGGCAGAAACAAAGCATAGAAAATATAGTAGATACTAGAGTTCAACTATATCAGTAATCACTTTAAGTGTTGATGGTGTAAGTACACAGCCATTATGGGATCAGCAGTTGGCGTAATGGCTATGTCGCTGGACTCCCATGTAGTCGACCGCGGCTTGAGTCCCGGATATGGTAGCTTAAGCTCACACTAGGCTTAAGTGTGTGCGTCCGTGCGTGCCAAAGATCCCAAGAGGAAAATAGAGGAGAAGGGACTGCTGTGTGGACATCCCCCCGGGAGGTGATTTCTCACTCTCTGTTTCTCTGTCTCTCTCTGTCTTTCTGGTGAGTTCACACACCCTATAACAAAAACCTCTCAAAAAAAAAGAAAGAAAAGAAAAAAGTATACAGCAATTACAAATTAGAATGTATATAAAAACCCAAACATGTTGTTTAGACACCTATTTGAAAATAGACACAAGTTAAAAGTAGAGTGATGGAGAAGATATGCCACATTAGCACCAATCAAAGGAAAGCTGGAGTTACAATGTTTTTTTTTTTAATTTTATTATTTTTTAATTACTACAGGACACATGGAATCATGAGAGAGAGAAAGTGAGAAAGCATGCTGCCAGGCCCAGGACTAGAACCGTGGTCAGCCATGTGGGAGTCCAGCACCTAACCACCACACAACCTGCCAGACCCATTATATATATATTTTTAAGAGAGGTTTTTGCTATAGGGCCTGTGTGCTCACTGGAGAGACAGAGAGACAGGGAGAAATCGTCCTCCAGAGGGGATTGCCACACCACAATTCTTTCTCCCCCATTCTTCTCTCAGGATTTTGGGCACACGTGGACATGTGCTGGCAGGAGTTTTAAGCCACTGAGTCTAGGACTCGAACCAAGGTTGACTACATAGGAGCCCAGCAATGTAACCATTACAGCATCTGCTGGTTCCTGAAGTTGCTATATTAATTTCAGAAGAAGCAGATTTCAGAGCCAAGAAAATTAACAAAGATAAAGAGCAATTGATTCCCAAAGAAGATAGAACAATCCTTAATGAATATGCATCTAACAACAAAGCATCAAAATATGTGAGGCAAATTCTGAGAACTACATGAATTCACTATTATAGCTGCAAACTCCAACACCCTTCTGTCAATAATTGACAGATACAGCAGACAAAAAATCAGTAACAATCAACTGGATATGATTAGCATCTCTAAAATGTCTTATCCACAGCAGTACATATTCTTCTCAGCCCACATGGGACATTCATCAAGGTAGATCACATTTGGGGCCATAAAATATACCAGAACAAATATAAAAGAATGAATAGAAATAATACAACGTATGTTCTCATGGAATTAAATTGGAAATGAATAATAGAAAATAGCCAGAAAACCCCAAAGTAGTTGGAGATTAAACAACACACTTAAAAATAACACATAGGTCAAATAGTCTTGAGAAATACATAAAACTAGATGAAAACAGAAATAAACATATCAAGGTTTGGGTCTGTGGCACAGAGTTCAAGAGAAGTCAGATCCCACATGGTGACTGCGGTTTGTGTCCCCAGGCTGGCCAGCCTGAAATTTTGCACCCAGGATCCAATAGGCTGTAGAACTGAAAGAGGGGGATTGTGGCATATCTAGACCCTGTGGAGGGAGCTTCTTTTTCATTTTCTCTTTCTCTCACATTAATATGCACACTATCATAAGTAAAGGAGAAAAGTGTAAAAAGAGAAACATCAAAACTCACAGAATACAGCTAAAGCAGAGCTTACTAGGGAATTTATAGCATAAATGCATTTATTAGAAAAGATTATCAAGACCAGCAGATGGCATAACGGTTATGTTGCTGGACTCCCATGTAGTAGACCACACTTCAGGTCCCAAACCTGGCGACTTAAAACTCACACTAAGCACATGTGCATGCATGCCCAAGATCCCAAGAGGAGAGTGGAGAAGAAGGGATTGCAGCATGGTCATCCCACCCTGGGAGGTGATTTCTCACTTTCTGTCTCTCTGTCTCTCTCCACCTCTCTGGTGAGCATACATGCCCTATAGCAAAAAAGCTCTCTTGAAAGAAAGAAAAGGAAGAAAGAAGAAATAAAAAAAGAGGAAGAAAAAAGATGATCTAGGACCATGAGGTGACATGGTGTTAAGGCACTAAATCCCACTAAACTCCACTATGCAAGTCCCAGATCTGGCAGCCTGAAAAATGCTTTGGGTGCATGTGCATGTGTGCCCAAAATATCAACAGGAAAATGAAGAAAGGGTGGTCATCCCCTTCTGAGGGATGGGGGGACAGTTCTCTCCCTCTACCTCTGTTTCTATCTCTCTCCAGCAAGCTCACATGCTCTATGGCAAAAACCTTTAAAAAATTATCTAAAATCAATCATTTAAGCTTCTACCTTAGAAAACTAGGGGAAAAAAATAAGCCCAACATATGCAGACAAATGACAATAAAAGGAAAAAAATCAATAAAAATTGAAAATAGGAAATCAGTGGAGAAAATCAATGAAACGAAAAGCTAGTTCTTGAAAAAGATCAATAAAATTTATAAAACTTTTATTGTTCACCAAAAAAGGAGAAAAGATACAAATTATTAGTACCAGAAATCAAAGAGAAACCAGTTACTACTGAGCTCTTGAACATAAAAGGACAATAAAAGAAGATTATGAACAACTCTCCACCCACGAATTTTGATAATCAAGATGAAATGGACCAAGGGAGGGGATTAGCAAGATAAAGGAGGATTTCAGAGCCAAGAAGATACTTTACCTCTAAAAATGTTTTTAAAAGAAAAATTTTAAAAATGAAAAGATAGAGACAGAGAGAAAGAGATAGAGACAGAAGGGTAGGGGGAGCTCTACCAGGGTGACTTCTCAGCAGAACATTTTCTTTTCCCTTATTCTCTGAAAACACTAGTTCTCGGCTGCTATGGAGAACTCAGTCTTCTTGAGCTGACTCCATTTTGTGAGACACCATTAGTCCTCATGACAGTAATGTCTCCATGTTTCAAACACTGCTCACTAGGCCTCACCTCTCAAAGGTCTCACTGCCCTCCCAACACCATTACACCGGGAACTGAATTTCAACAAATGAACCTTTGGGAGACAAACCAATTCCTAAACGAGTAGCAGACTTCCAGTTAAAAATGGCAAACTAGGGGACCAGCAGATGGTGTAACGGTTATGTTGCTGGACCCCCATGTAGTCAACCACAGTTTAAGTCCCAGACCCAGCAACTTAAAACTCACACCAGGTGCATGTGTGTGTATGCATGCGTGTGTGTATGTTTGTGTGCCCGAAATCCCAAGAGGAGAATGGAGGAGGGATTGCAACATGGCCATCTCTCCTGGGGGGTGATTTCTCTCTTTCTGTTGATGTGGAGCAACCCAAGTCTGATAACTGCCTGAACTTTCTGTTCTGACATAGAGGAACTTGTGTGTAACCTTGAAGCAACCCTGGACTGACTGATAGTTGCCTGGGCTTTCTGGGTCCCCCCACCCCACCCCCCGTGAGTTAGCTGACCCTCCCTCCTGAACTGTTGAGTAGCTGACACTGAGCCCCTTTTCCCTGATAGGATGCTCCAAGCATGCTGAAACTTCCCCCTCCCCAATTCACCCATAAAAGACTGTGCTCAACTCTCAGCAGGAGCTGAAGATTCAGTGTTAACTCCTCCATACCTGCTATCGTAATAAAGAGTTCTCCTTTCCTCTCCGGGGTGTTGCATTTTCATCCCAGGGCATCTGTTTTTTCACAACACTGTCTGTCTGTCCAAATCTATAGCAAAAATCTCTCCCTCTCTAAAAAAAAAAAATGATTTGCTCAATTAAAATGCTACTCTGTTCAGTAGGCTGGTTTCTTTCTTTCTTTCTTTCTTTTTTAACATACTCAACACCATATTAAGCACTTACATACATTATGTCCAGTTCCCACCCCACCATGCCTAGTAGGTATATTGTTTCCATTTTTACAAATAAGAAATCAATGCTCAGGTTAAATAATTGGTGATCTGTGGTTGAACTCTCTGCTCCCAAAGCCTCCATTATTTTTTCCCCACTAGATCACATCACCTCTTCCTGAGTGTGAGTTGAAAAGAACTATGGAAGGGATAGGGGTGAATGTAGAGCTTAAAGGATTTCTCCTTTTGGAGAAGAGCAGGGAGAGAGAGAAACAGAAAGATTCAGCACGTTTCTGGCTATCTGTCTACTGATGTAACCAGGCTTGATTTCCAGCATAAATTTCCAGTTGGTCAAGTGACCAAAGGAAGCAACTTTAAGCTCTAGTCATGAGCCTCTATTACAAAAACCAAAGCTTTGTTCTGCTTTTCTTTTTTCTTTTTTTTAAATTAGTACGTTTATTTTGCATTCATTCACTGAACATCATCACAGCATACAAAATGCAATTTCCCATTCAGAATACTCTGCATAGTGGCTTAATCATACATGTTATCATTAACAAATAATTTTCTATTTCTTTCATATATTTATATTTCCCCCCTATTTTTCGCCCTCTGCTTCATATTCTCTTAAAGACTCTTAAAAATATAATATATACACATGTAAATTGAAAAGTATATATATATATAATTATTTTTCAAATAAATAACCAGCATTTTTTTCCCAAAGAGAATGACATTGATTTTGCTCTTTCATTAGCTGATATCAAGCTTAGTTATAGTCATAAAACAGTTCTATTTCAAAAGTAAATTTCATTTGGTCCCAACAATTTACCTTTTCCAGTATATGAGAAGGTTGTCATGATTTAACCTGGTTAAGAGTTCCAGCAGATTTAATTTACTAAGATAAGAGATTTGTTACTTCTGAAAAATATATATTTCTCAGTCTTCTATCATAGAACTAGACCCAATATTAATTCGTATCACATTGTGAACAATCTGCTTTAATTTTCAAATAAAATCTGTGATCCCGCTGTTCCAGCATGGTCCTAAATGCCCTCATGAGAAAACTAAGGAGACAAAGTTTTGTCCCAGAGAAGCCCAGTCACCCCTACACAGCTTAATTCTGAGGCGGGATTCGGGGAGGTGGGACAGATGGCATAGCTGTTCCCAGGGGAATGAGTGGGAGCTGAGCTGGGTCCCAATGACCAAAGTGGCAGGGAGCTTGGACCAAATGATCTTGAAGGTCCCTTCTGAGTAAGATTTTAGGTTACGTTTATCGTGGAGTTTAAATCACTGGGAGCTTCAAGAGGGTTTTGGGTTACTTTCCTTCTGGAATTATTGTGATATAATCAAGACACTTACCTGGCTCTTTAAATCAGTTTGTTGGCTACCTTATAAACGATGTGATCTGATGAACCACAAAACAAAAACTAAAAGGTTATTTACATTCCTTGTTTCTGAAAAGTCATAGTTCACTGACAAGTTAAGAAACTGAAAGTGAAATCAGCTGATAGTGACATCAGTCAGCATAAATGTACCAAAGTTCGGAGAGTTGTTTACTTAGGCACAACAGCGAATGCAAGCGGGACATGGGCTCAGGGCTGCGTCTAGCTGCCATTTGCCTCTCCACCATCCTCATTCCGGGAGCCTGACACTAGAGAGCCGGCAAGAAGGAAAAACCCACCGCCCGAACCTGATTTCCTGCTCCTTTCATGAGTGTTCCTCTGGGAGCTGCACCTTCTTCTTGTAAGTACCTAATTAACGCACCACTGCATGCCCAAGCGCTCACCATCTCGTATGTGTTCTTCTCAAACATCTCACATTCTAGCAATACGCACAGGGAACATCACAGGTCCTTCAGTACCTGCGACCTTTCCTCACTCTCCCTCCTCTGTGTGGTCTATCCCTTCACCCTCTGTTCTCCCTCTCTCTACTCTCTCCAGCATCACCCTGTGTGTCTCTGGCCTCCAAGAGGATGCAGGCGATGCCAGTAGAAATGGTTAGTAGTGCAGTGGCTGTGTGTGCCAGGGTCTTGCACACAGCCTGCACAAATAAATGTTTGTGGCTGTGGTCATCAGGAACAGGCGACCTAGCAAAAGAAGGTCACTGACTAGCAGTAGCTAAACGGTCACCCAAAAGTTATGAAAAAAAAATCTCAAAACCTGAAAATGCACTCTGAAAACTAAGTTGTCAAAAAGACGTGTTCTTCACTCAAAGAATGTAATAGGAACTAAGAGATTTTTAGACCCTGTGTTATTAGACTAGATCGCTTCTTATGTCCTGATGAAAATTCATGGTGGGGATTTTAGTTCTCCAGGTGAAATCATAAGCTTTTTTACATGTAGGTTTAGGTACGCTAATAACTTCAATTATACCTCTTCATCTACAGAATTGGAGGTTACCTTAAGAAAGTGTGTGTGTGTGGGGGGGGAATGTGTATTTCCTTCTGTTGTTCTTCTCATGAGAACCAAAGTGGATTTTTCAGTGTCAGTTTTCCATACCCCGTCCCTCCCAAAATCTCAGCTCTAAGAGAGATTTGGTTCACGTGATGTGTTCTCAGTTTTGTACACAATCCCCTTTCTCAACTTCTTTCCAGTTTAATCCCTGCTTTATTAGTTACTCAGGTAGTTCCTCATTGTTTCACAAATGTCACCTTTGTCCATTTTCATAAATAAGGCACGATTCTGAAAATATTTTTAGTGCAAAAAGAAAAAAACAATCGTCTCTAATGCTGCTACCCAGAGATACCACAGCCAACAATAACATTTTGAAAGACTTCCTCAGCCTCTTCGGTGCGTGCTTACATAAGATGCAGGTACACTACATAGTGCAATTGTATACTTGTTTTCTAAAACTGCTTGGTACTTCGTCTTGATATGTCTAATTCTGCATATTCAAGTTGCTTCCTTTTTTGTCAAAATACATTGTGATGAACATTCCTGTATATGAATCATTAATTGCATTTATGATTGCTATCTTAGGCTGGATACATAAAAGTGGAATTACTAAGCCAAAAAGATGTGGTTATTTGTAGGGTTTTTAATGCATATGGCCAAATTGCCTTCCAGAAAGTTAATAGAAATTTTCACATCCAGCACCGTTGTGTGGTAATACCAAGAGTGTGTTATTTGACAGGGAAACTCAGGTTATTTTATGTGGCTGACATTAGTAAAGGAATAGGTTTTTTTTTTTTTTTTTTTTTTTTGGGGAGTTTTTCCCTGTGGGGCGCGTG